TTTTTTTTTTCCCTAGAAATTTTGCCTGTACGAGTGGTACGATTTCCGATGGATTTTTTGTTGTTAATATTTCTGACAGAAAATTTACCGGTAACACATTATGTTACACTTTTTATGAAAAAGATTTCAATAAACTTGATAAAGTTTCAATCGGGATCCATCTATTTTTAATATTTCAAATTTATTTTGATATTCAATCCTGAAGGTAGCCTGCGGCAGATATTGCACAAAAAATCTACCAAAAACGTTTTGGACAGATTTTTTGTTCGATAGAAAGCATTTGTAATGAGATTTTACCAATGGATAAATGTCTCCTAGAATCCTGAATTTTCAATGTGTTTTACACATTTTGAAAGTTTTTTTTTTTTTGCTAGAAATGACTATCTTGCTATATTATGGAATTTTTCTTGCCATATGAGCGAAATCTCTTGGATATATCTTGATTCATCTATTTGACCATTATTAAAAAGAGAAGAGTCACCATTTATATCCAGATCAGGTAATACGTTGAATTTCTCAATGATCTGCTTAAAAGAAAAATGCATCATTTGTATATATTTTGGGCTTACCAGGGATTTATTTCTCTCTTTGGAGATAATATATTTTGCCCTCATAATATTCCCCCATCACTCCCAAAATATAAAGCTACATATCCCTAACGTAGAAGGAGGATTATCTTTGTTTTCCATGTAAGGGATACTTGCTTATATTCCCCTTGTCATATATGGATTTATGCTTTTAATTTTAATAAACTTTTTTTTCTTTTGTGATTGTTGCCTGGATTGTTTCTTATTTTGGAAGTTGCTTTCATATGGATCATAGAAGTTTGTAATTTTTTACTTCCTCAAGCACTTTGTTCTTCCGCACCCTTCGGTAATTTCGTATGAAAGGCTTTCAAAGGTGATGGATTCCTTTGTAGTGATATTATTGTGGATTGATTTTAGAGGAACTGAGATTTATTTAAGCTCTCCGTTTGTCCTATTCTCTCGGTTGCTCTGCTTCCATCAGTTGTTCTTTTGTCTGTTTGATTAGCAGCTTTTACATAATTTTTTTTTTTTATTGTTGTGCTTTTGGTTTTTACTGGAAATTGCAACAATTCTCTCAAAAAAATATTTATGGATTTATATATATATATATATACTTTCATCTACAGATCAGTCATTTCTGTCATAATGAATGTTTGAAAACATGGAGAACCAATTCTATCCTCTCAAAAGAGCAATCAATTAGCATCATTCACATACCTGCAATTCTCCCTAATCTCCCCATCACCACCCGTAAGCAGACTCAAACTCCCCATCTTAACCATAGCAGCCCCAAAATCCTCCCAAAACGCTTCCCTCTTCTCACTATAATAACTAACCAGGGAGTCCGCCTCGCCACCATCTCCACTAAAGAGCTGCTGGTCCGAATGCAAAACCCCCCGACTCTGCCGCAAGGCGTCGAAGTAATCCGCGTCGAAGCGGGCGGGAGAGTCGTCGAACGATGCGAGAATGTCGTCGCCTCCGCCGTTGGATGGCGGGCACTGCGCCTGTAAGTATCGGGCGAAGGCAGGATCGATGGTGGAGGTTTCGTTGTATATGCGCGATCGAAAGATGAGGCAGCGGGCGAAGCCGAGGGTGTGGGCACCGGAGAGGACAACGAGGTCTTGGAGGCTGAGGCCGTGGGAGTCGAAGTTGGAGACGAGGGCGGGTAGGTCGAAGAAGGGGGCGGGGAGGTCGTTGTTCGCGGCGGCTTGGCTTGCAGTCGTGGCGTCGCGACGGCCGAGTAGAACTTCGTAAGGAGATCCACCTAGCTGTTCAAGATAAAAAAACGAAGGGGATTTAAAATTTTGCTTTCTTACCAATATTTGTTTTTATATTTACATTTTTAATGTCTAAATTTTTATATTTAATTATATATCATTTTAATGTTAAATAATATCAATGTTTACATATTAGAATATTGGAATTGTAATTTTTTTCAATTTAAAATCTTATTAAAATGAACCCAATTGCGAATAGGTCACTTATTTTAGCATTTAATTGAAAATTTTTTGCGCATCATCAGCTTACATATTAAAATTATAATATAATATGAATTTTTAATAAAATGTGCAAAAACCTACTTATAAGTGGAGCATTCTTTAAAGTATATTGACTTGCAGAAAAGAAAATATTTTGTAATAAATATGATCTCATTTGTCTTAAAAAATTTATAAATTCTTCTGCGTGTGATTACGAAGTTAGGCAGATGAAATTTTTAGGGTTTTAATCGCTCACCAGTAAACGATTTTAAATTCCCATTTTAAATCAACTTTTTGTTTTAATTTTGGTTTATTTTTGGCCTATAACAAACCTTTATAATTAATTCATTCACCTCAAAATGTTTCCTCAGAATGTTTATCTAAAAATAACAATGAAAGAGATCTAATTGCCATTCAGATTGCTACAACAAGGAATCAAATTAATGAGGCGTCTCCCAATAAAAAAACTCCGAGTATGAGTGTCAAAATTTGATCTGACGCGAAATCGTCTTGAAAGATTCAGTTTCGGATCAACCCATTTGCCATATAGGTCGGATTTAGGTTTGTGTTTTCGACATGTTTCTAAAATCGAGTCAGGTTTGGGTGTACAGTGCACACGGAGATGGCCACGAGTTCGAGGATTAAACCTGGCCTTCACGGGTCCAGTTAGGTTCAACCCGTAACGTGCTGGTATCAGGCCTGGGTTGGAATTCTTGACCCGTTTGCAAAATCTAATCGAGTTCAAGTTGATCCTTTTGAACCCATGTTAGGTCTGGTTGGACCCAAACCCGACCTATTGACCCATTTTGACACTCCTAATCAAAGTCATCTTGCTTGTGCAAATGATTTTCTTTTTGATAATATTAATCATAATCTAAATAATTCTATTGTGACTAACTTCAGTATTTTCAGAAATTTGATCAATCAAATTTGGAGTTACTCTTAATTAATGATCAAGAGACTCGGGGTTCATTTGAGACAGTTTTTTTATTACTCTCTAAAGCATATTTTAGTAAGAAAATATTTTTAAACAAATAATTTTTGTACTAAAATATGCTTTAGAAAACAATAAAAAACTGTCCCAAACGAAGCATCCATGCTTAAAAAATTTTTGATTTAGTTGGCACTCAAGAAAGAATTCTCTCTCAAGTATATTTGTTATAGTTTTGTGAAATATGTTTTGTTGGAGAATTTGATTTTTAAAAGTCAAATTAAGGTGGATGTAGCTGTTTGTAAGGATAATTTTAAAAATCTTGATTTGCTTGCACTCAAGAAAGAAATCTCACTCAAATATATTTGCTATAGTTTTGTGAAATATGTTTTGTTGGAGAATTTAAATTTTAATAGTCAATTTAGGGTGGATGTAGCTGTATGTTAATATAATTTTAAAATTGTTTTAAGAAAATATACATTTTTTTTAAAATTTTAATAAGAAAGTAATTTTTGAGCATAAAAAGTTCTTTAAAATAATAAAAAATTATCCTAAATAAATCTTAAGCCTCAAAAGGTCGTATAGTGCAAATGTAATGGAGGCCCATATTAATAAATAAGGCTTTCCAAATTTTATTTTCCACGATTTCGAAATAGAAGAGCTTATGGCAAGACGAAGTACGTTTAGGAGCTGTAAAATATAGAATTTTAATAATTTTAACTTATTTTGAAATTGCTTTGACATTTCAATGAATTTAAGGTTTCGTTTGGGACGGCTTTCTTACTACTTCATAAAGCGGCTTTCTAGTACAAGAATTTTATTTTTTGTACTAAAAAGCCGCTTTAAGAAGCAGAAAAAAAGCTGTCCCAAACGAGGCATAAATTTTATTATTTTTCTAAAGCTACTGCAATTTAAATTTTAATTGATTACAAACATATATCTTTTACCGCTAAATAATTTAATAAATTCAAGATTCACCCAATAAATTTTTTAGTTAGATATCATGACATAGGAATTTTAAATTTGAAAATGACACCTGTGATAGGAAGGTTTGAGGCTTTCTTACATGCATATAACATGACAATTTTTTTTTTTACAAAATTTAGGCTTCGTTTGGGACGGCTTTTTTATTGCTTACTAAAATGGAGTTTTAGTACAAAAATAAAAAAATTTATACTAAAATTCCCTTTTAGAAAGCAGTAAAAAAGCCGTCCCAAACCAAGCCTTAGTTAGCATATACGGAAAATTATTAAATTTGTTGTTGAAATGAAGTTCATAAGAAGATAATTATTCTAAATATTTTTTTATTTATGCCAAATAAAAATTATGCAATTGTGAGAGTCAATGATCCAAAATTTGTTACGCCGTCAAACGCACATTTTGGAGTGGCAGCAGGTAGATACAAACTTTCTCAAAAATAAGAACCAATTTTCCCCATTTTACATATGCATAAAAGTTCATGAAAACAAATTAAGAAATTCTATGCAATGTCATAAACTATTACTTTTCTATATGAGAATAAAATCTTAAGAACACATTGTTATGCAACTCATTTTGATATATTTGTTAAGAATTTTGACTATCAACTAAGAGATCACAGGTTTGAGTCATAGGCATATGATATGTGTATGAGTTAGACTTAATTGGCCTAAATGTTCAAAAGAAAAGAAACAAAAATGTAGCTCTTGAGTGTGAAATTAAAGTGGACTTAATAATTTGATTTTATTAATGAAAGAGTGTGAAGATTAGTCGCATTTAGGCTAGTAACGGTCATTTCAGTACAAATTTTTTAATTTTTTAACTAAAATACTGCTTTAAGAAGCAGTAATAAAGCCGGCCAAAATGAAATCTTAATCTTGCCTGAAAAGTGTGAACTTTTAACCTATTAATTTATCATAATTTTAAATCCTTAAAATAATTAACTTGCAAGAAACTTACAGCAACAATAGAATCACGAGCAGCAACGGCAAGAATATCAGCACAGGAGACAACATTTCCAAAACATGCCAAGTTAACAGCAGCTTTGATCTCATCAATAACATCAAAGCCCCTCAATGAATTGTTATTAGGACCGGCTGTTTTCTCTCCTGTGAAACTCTGTGTGTCATCTAGTAGTACTGAAGCATCGCAACCCTATAAAATTTTCATGAAGATTTACTTAGAAGAATAATGGTCTAGTGGATCAATTATTTATCAAAGACAAAAAATCGCTAATATTCTTAAAAGATCATCTCATATTAAATAATGCTTAATATGCAAGATTACAATGTTTTTGTCAGCAAAAAATTTAATTTTGTTCGCAATCCAATTAACAATTTTTTATCCAAAGAAATAATTGAAGCCTTCCACGTAATTAGTGAGTTTGGAAAATTTGTAAAAAATTTTAAGTAGAAAGAAATCTGAAATTAATTTTTGGAAGCTCACATTTACAAAGCAATCATGGAAGTGTAGCCGAAGAAGAGATGCGCCCATTCTCGGTTCTTTAAAAATGGCAGCGTAGACAACAAGTCGGATGGTAGGCAATGCCTGTGGGCAAATATCTCTATAGAAATCCGGCGAAAGCTGTGATATGGCCATAAAAAACAAGCAAGAGAACGCCGTAATTTGAATCAAGCAGCTGCTCAACACCTTTCGAGATCTCGCCATTTGATTCTATGTATGAACTCTTCTTATTTTTAACAACAGTGTGTTACGTTAGCACAGTAATATATAGTTGATTTAATTCACCAACTTTCTTTGTTTATCAATCTTTTATTGAATTGGACATTCTCTTTCTTATGTAAGACGAATGGGCAAAGGTGTTCTTGTTTCTTAAGGATCGATTTCATTGCTATGAAGTTGGTGATGTCACGTTTTGATTTGCATTATATCTTTGTGTTAATTTGTTCTTGTTAGCAAAGTTTTTCTATTAGGCTATGGATGGTAGGTGATGGGTGGAAACATAAGAAAGTTATCTAGCAAGAGTTCTGTATATTGTTCCATATTTATTATTATTATTATTATTTATGATTTTAAAGTAGCTATTAATACTTTGGTTTATTTTTTACATTTTTGCCTAAAAAGAAAATGTAGTGTAAAGTAAATGTAGTGCATTACGAATACTTTGAGTTTGCTTGGTTTTTTTTTTTTTTGAAGAAGATGCAATTGCATTAAACTGGAAAACAAAGAACCTTACAAAGATAAATCTTTCCTGAACAAGTCAACGAAACTTGCCGGAATATTGGATTCAATAAAAGAATCCCAAAAGAAATCTCCTAACAAAGCATACTTGGCACAAAAATCTGCCGATCTATTACATTCTCTATGAGCAAAAAGAAAAACCAAATTATTGAAAACTTGTAAGAAAGAAATGTCCGGTTTGGTACCTTTGCTGGTCTTCAATTTGATTGAATCTTGAATCATCTTCATGATATTTACATTATCTCCTTCAATGATTATTCCCTTGTATTCACAAAACTAATTTTGAATGTTGTTTTCAAAAGACATGATAGCTTTGAATTCCAGGTGAGCAATATCCCAATGAGTTAGCTTTCTACCATAAGCACATATTAATCTCCCTTTGTCGTCCCTAAGAACACCAGCAATACCTGCCAAGTTGTTAACCGAAAGAGTAGCATCCACATTCAACTTAATCCAAGCGTGAGGAGGGGGACACCAAGATTTGGACAGCAAATGCTGGTTGGTGAGCCAGTTCTTTTCAATTGGATTAGAGTGGAGATGAGAAGAATGCGATATAATTTTAGCAACCGCATATGCTACTGGAATTTCAGCATTTTCATGCTTTGTCAAATTTCTAGATTTCCAGCTATAGAACACAGCCACTGCATAAATCATCACGAGACCTTTTCCAGAATTCTTCTCTAAAGTTTTAATGCATTCCTCCAAGTTTTGGAATTCAGGAACATTGAACCCAGTTTTCCTCAATTCTTGTAATAAATCCTTCAGCTTTTTGCACTTTACAAGAACGTGCTCTGCATTTTCATTCTCATGACAGTCTCTTGAACATTCTATAGAATCAGCTAATTCACTACAGGAAAACCACTGATTTCCGGGAGAATTTTCCGGCGGCTTTCCGGTGGACACATTTCCGGCGGCTTTCCGGCGCATTTCCGACGGTTTTTTCCCAAGGAATTTTCGGGCGGAATTTTCGGCGGCTTTTTCATTTTTCCGGCGGATTTTAAAAATTTAATGAAAATGACTAAAATTTTTACTATTTAAATGATTTAACAAAAAATTATTAAAATTTATATTAATAATTTAATTAATTTTCATTTTAAAATTAATATGTTAGTTATTATTTTTTATTTTATAATTAAATATTATTTTTTTATTTTAAATAAATATTTTCATTATTTAAATCATTTAAAAAATTAATTGATTTTTGATCATAATATACTTTAAAATAAAAAATAATCTGACATTGAATTACATATTTACATAATGGCCAATTCCGGTGGGAATGCTTGAAATTTTCACGAGGACACGTGGTTCGAATCTCACGGCCCACGCAGGGATCGCGCGCGCGGGGGCCGGCAGTTGGCGAAAGCGCGGGAAGGCCGGCAGCCCCGAAGCTCGCGGGACGCGGCAATTGCTGCGGCGGCAGCCGCCGAAGCGCGCGCGGGGGAGCTCATCCGCGGGAATGCCGGTAGCCGCGGGCAACGCGGGAGCTGGGCGCGGCGCCTGGTAGCAGGTGCCGAGCCGCGATGAGGGTTTTTTTTTTTAAAATTTGAATTGGGCGATTTATAATCGCCGAAAAAGTCGCCGGAGATAAATTGCCGCCGGTAAAAAACCGCCGGAATTTATTTTCCTACGCCGTTTTTTTTGGCGGTCACTTAACCGCCGGAAAACTGCCAGAAAAATACAAAACCGCCGGAAAAGGTTCAATTACCGTCGGAAATGGGTGATTTTCCTGTAGTGATTTCCTGTGACAAAGCCACTCCATTGTCGGTAAAGCTCCGTTCAATGTTCTCCACTAGAACAAGTATACTTTCTGATCCACTTTCAGCTTCTTCAGCCAAATGTGCTTGGTAAACTTACTTTCCTTCTAAAACCAGATAGCCTCATTGCTTAATGTCGAAACCGTTTTCCCTGTGTTGGATTGAATAAGTTCTACTTTATCTTCAGCATTATTTGATCCCTTCTCCATTTGCAGTATTAGCTTTACCTTATCTTATGAAAACAATTCAGTTAATTTACCTGAATTCCAGTTCCCATCTTCATTCATAAGAAAAGAATCTTTCTTATCCTCAGTGTCCATCGTATTGCACAATGCCGGTCATCTGTTAATGCTTCTATCAAGTATCCAAATATTAAAATTTATGTTGATACTTTGACCATTGTTAATCTACCATCTAACAATTGGTTTTAGATGTTCAATTCCATCTTTAATTAATTTCCAGGCTATAGAAGCACCTCTCTTCACCTTATCTTCCCATCTTATTGCTTCAAATTTTTTTAATAGAAATTTGTGAAGGAGAGATTCCTTATTCTGCAGGAACATCCAAGACATTCTCGATCTTAGTGGTCCGTGACTTACCGCAGCTCCATGAATGCCAAACCCCCTTAAGTTTGTAGGTAGGCATAGAATTTCCCAAGCAATATAATGTACCCCTTGCTTCCCATTATCTTTGTGCCACAAGAAGTTTCTACAGATATTGTCAATTTTTAGTAATATACTCTTAGGAATAAGGGAGTGTGTCACCTGATAGTTAAATACTCGAATAAGCCGTTTTCACGAGAAGAATTCTTCCAGCTAGAGATAGCCATTTAGCTCCCCAAGAATTAAGCTTGTTCATTGCTTTCTCCATGGTGCTATTGTAATCATCAGCTTTTAACCTTCTGAGAACCATTTTAATTCCCATATAGTATAACTCTTTGACTTCCTTGAATTCCAGAATTTTGATTATTTTCCTTCTTCTGTTCTTGGACACAATGTTACCAAAGATAACCATGGATTTTTGTGAATTAACCACCTGACCTGTCCATCTGCAGTAAGTTTTGAAAATTTTCTTCAAGATTCTTGCATTCCTACTGAAAGCTTTAGCAGTAACCAAAACGTCATCAGCATACAACAAGTGGGTAATCTTCTCTGTATTTGGAGCCAGTTTCATTCCCACTGTTCTTTATACTCACTAATAGCTTTGGAGAGGAGATCTGAACATAAAATGAAAAGGCTAGGTGATAACGGACACCCCTGCCTGAAGCCACATTGAGCATTAATCCATTATGTTTTTTTTTTATCATTAATAACAACGGAGAATTTTGGGTTTGAAATACATTGAAGGATAAGCCGTATAAACTTGTCCGGAAATCCTGTCAATTTCAAAACCTTTTCAAGAGTTTCCCAGCACATACAGTCGTATGCCTGTTCCATATCGATTTTAATAATAAAAAAAACTGGTTTAGCAACTGAAGATCTCATCTTACTAACCATCTCTTGCGCAATAATGTAGTTGTCTGAGATGCTTCTCCCTTGTATAAAAGCTCCCTGGAATTCAGATATTAATTTCGGCAAGCAGTTTTTAAATTTATTCAAGATCATACCAGCCACCATCTTGTAGATTGTTTGACACAAGCATATAGGTCTATATTTAGAACATTCTCTAGCATTTTGAATTTTTGGGATTAACACAACAACCGTTTCCTTCCATTGTTCAGGCATCTCCCCTGTTCTGAATAAATAGTTCACGGCATTCCAAGTATCCTGCTCTACAATGCTCCAATAATTTTTGAAAAAATAGGCATTAGCCCCATCAGCACCAGGAGATTTATTATTCCCCATATTATTAAGAGTGAACTTCAATTCTTCCAATGTGAATTCAGCGTCTAAAATGTTCTTCAAATTTTCCTCAATGCACTCAGAGTTTTTGAAATTCGGACAGTTATTCAATTCACAATGCCGTTTGCGCCATTTCTGCTTGAAAAAGTTTTCCATGATACCATGGATCTCTTCCTGATTAGAGACCAGTGAACCATCCTCCTTGGCAATTTGCAGGATCTTATTACTTTTCTTCTTGGCTGATGCATCGTATGATAATAGCTTGTGTTCTTTTCTCCATCCTCCATCCATTGACATTTAGATCTTTGTCTCCACCAGGTTGCTATTCTAGCCAGATTGGTATTTAATTCTGCTACCATGCTTCTCAATAACAACAGATCCTTCTGATTCAATCCTCCTTCCGCTGCTTCTTTGTTTTGGAACTCTAATATTTCATTTTTTAGCACCTCATTTCTGTCATTTAGCTCCTTCAACTTATTTTTACTCCAGTAGAAGAGATTCTTGAGCGATCTTCTAATTTTTCTTTGAAGAACATCATTTGCAGTACCATAATCCTTCTTACTCCAAGACTTTTTGATAATACCTTTTGCTGCATCATAAGAGCACCACAGATTTTCAAATTTGAAATCTTTTTAAAAATTTTTTGCTTTTTCTTCTAGCTGTATGAGAACAGGACAGTGGTCCGAGGATACCCTTTGAAGATGTTTGATCATAGCATTAGGAAATTCCATGATAGCTTTGGAATTAAACCACAACCTGTCCAATCTCTCCCATAATCTAGCAAGTCCATCTTTATTGTTGCACCATGTATAATTGGGTCCAATGAAACCGATATCATGATAGTCATTGTTGATCATAAACTCCTTCA